CATGTACATATTACCTCAACTACCTCAACTAGCCGATGCCCCCGCACATTGACTCTGCAACGGTACCCCCCTGTATATATAGCCTCCCTACTGTCACTTTATTTTACTTCTGCTCTTTTTTTTCTCAACACTTTTTTTGTTGTTGTTTTATTTTTACTTTTTTTGTTTAAAATAAATGCACTGTTGGTTAAGGGCTGTAAGTAAGCATTTCACTGTAATGTCTGCACCTGTTGTATTCGGCGCATGTGACCAATAAAATTTGATTTGATTTGATTTGATATAGCCTCCCTACTGTTATTTTATTTTACTTCTGCTCTTTTTTTCTTAACACTTTTTTGTTGTTTTATTCTACTTTTTTATTAAAAATAAATGCACTGTTGGTTAAGGGCTGTAAGTAAGCATTTCACTGTAATGTCTGCACCTGTTGTATTCGGCGCATGTAGTCAATACAATTTGATTTGATTTGATTTGATTTGACAGACATACTTACCCCACCAGACATGCCACCAGGGGTCTCTTGACAGTCCCCGAATCCAGAACGAATTCAAGGCAGTGCACAGTATTATATATAGCAATATATCACATGGAACTCCCTTCCATCTCAAGTTACTCAAGCAAACAGCTAAATTTGCTTTTAAAAAAAAAATACTTCACAGCACAATGCCTCTCCCAGTCACGACTTCCTCCGAAGCTACCTCCTCTCCTTGTTTGGGCAGGCTTCGGCGTTCGTCGTCACCGGCCTTCTAGCCACTGCTGCTCCTCTTCTCATCATTCCATTTGTTTTGTCTTGTTTTTTCCACACACCTGGTTCATATCCCCTCATCAGTCCCTGAATAAGTATTCCCTCTGCCCCCCATGTCTTTGTGTGTGATTGTTTCCATGTGGAGGTGTCGATAGTTCGGTGGAGCATTATGTACTTTATCGCCGGGACGTTCATTTGTGTGTTTTGTTTTTCTCAGTGCGCCGTTAAGTCGCACTGTAGTTGTTTTACGCATTGCTGTGAACCGCCGAATAAACCATTATTCTGTGATTTACACCTCCTGCGCCTGACTCCGTCCAAATCACCAGCTACACTCCCCAATCTGACCTAATTAACTCATAGGCATACAGTCGGAACGTATTGAGACCCCTTCACTTTTTCCACATTTTGTTACGTTTCAGATTATTCTAAAATAAAAAATAAGCAATCTACACACAATACCCCATAATGACAAAGTGAAAACAGCCTTTTAGAAATGTTTGCAAACTTACTAATAATTTAAAACTGAAAAATCTTATGTAAATAAGTATTCAGACCCTTTGCTATGAGAGTCGAAATTCAGCTGAGGTGCATCCTGTTTCCATTGATCATCCTTGAGATGTTTCTACAACTTGATTGGAGTCCAACTGTGGTACATTTAATTGATTGGACATGATTTGGAAAGGCACACACCTGTCTATATAAGGTCCTACAGTTGACATTGCATGTCAGAGCAAAAACCAAGCCATCAGGTCGAAGGAATTGTCTGTAGAGCTCCGAGACAGGATTATGTCGAGGCACAGATCTGGGGAAGGGTACCAAAAACTGTCTGCAGCATTGAAAGTCCCCAAGAACACAGTGGCCTCCATCATTCTAAAATGGAAGAGGTTTGGAACCACCAAGACTCTTCCTAGAGCTGGCCACCCGGCCAAACTGAGCAATCGGGGGAGAAGGGCCTTGGTCAGGGGGGTGACAAAGAACCCGATGGTCACTCTGGCAGGGCTCCAGAGAACTTCTGTGGAGATGGGAGAACCTTCCAGAAAGGACAACCATCTCTGCAGCACTCCACCAATCAGGCCTTTATGGTAGAGTGGCCAGACGGAAGCCACTCCTCAATAAAAGGCACATGACAGCCCGCTTGGAGTTTGCCAAAAGGCACCTAAAGGACTTTCAGACTATGAGAAACAAGATTCTCTGGTCTGATGAAACCAAGATTGAACTCTTTGGCCTGAATGACAAGCGTCACGTTTGGAGGAAACCTGGCACCGCTCATTACCTGGCCAATACCATCCCTACCGTGAAGCTTGGTTGTGGGTGTGGGGATGTTTTTCAGCGGCAGGGACTGGGAGACTAGTCAGAAAGATGAATGGCGCAATGTACAGAGAGATCCTTGATGAAAACCTGTTCCAGTGCGCTAAGGACCTCAGACTGGGGCGAAGGTTCACCTTCCAACAGGACAATGACCCTAAGCACACAGCCAAGACAACACAGGAGTGGCTTCGGAACAAGTCTCTGAATTTCCTTGAGTGGCCCAGCCAGAACCCGGACATGAACCCAATCAAACATCTCTGGAGAGACCTGAAAATAGCTGTGCAGTTACGCTCCCCATCCAACCTGACAGAGGAAGAATGGGAGAAACTCAACAAATACAGGCTGTAATCGCTGCCAAATGTGCTTCAACAAAGTACTGAGTTAAGGGTCTGAATACATGTGTAAATGTAATATTTCAGTTTATTTATATCATTTTAATTGCAAACATTTCTAAAAACCTGTTTTTGCTTTGTCATTATGGGGTATTGTGTGTAGGTTGATGAGGGAGAAAAAACTATTTAAAACATTTTAGAATAAGGCTGTAACATAACAATGTGGAAAAAGTGAAGTGGTCTGAATACGTTCCGAATGCACTTTATGTATATGTACTAATGTATGCGTGTTCTTATTATGTAGTTCCTTCAGGTGTTCTTGTCTATTGATCTTCTGTATTATGTCATATTTTATGTTTTGTGTGGACCTCAGGAAGAGTAGCTGCTGCTTCAGCAACAGCTAATGGGGATCCTAATAAAATACTATAAAAAATATATAAATTAAAAAAAGTACATTCTCCATTGTCATCTCACTCAAAATTTCAATTTTTTGGGCGGCTAACAGCATTATTTGGTCAAACAGTAAAGCGTGTTATCCTCGTGATTCCTGTAATGAATGTGTCTCCCTGGCCCTGTGCCGGTGTCCTCGCTGTGGCCTGCTCAAGAGAAATGTGTTCTGATCATATAACATTTCAAAATGCAGTTACGTGAAGCACACAGCTTTGGAAGTTTTGTCCCTGTCGAAGAGAGGGGAGGGTATCAGCTTTCTGTTGGTATTTTTTATTTCCTAACTCTCAATATACAGCTCAATAGCAACTATTTTACAACCAAGATATTTGATATAGCTTTGAGATATGGAGCGGCGCACTTACGAAATGCGCACCGGCCATTGCGAGGACATAGGTCTCATGGGTAGTAGCCTACAACTGCAATGTTTTTTTAGGACATTACATTTACTGTTGGATGAATACATGGCTACTAGCAGTGGGTATTGTATTTAGAGTTAGCGATCTAGTTAATGTGTTTTGAGTTTCCACTTCCTCAGGTGTTGAACCCCAAATTAATTAGCCGATTATATTAATTAGTGCACATAAAAATGTATGTAATTCTTCTCTATTGAACAATTCTTGACATTCTGATTCCTATTTTCACAGTAAAAATAGCAACTATAGTCTAATTGGTGATGTGGGTTGGTGTGGAGAAAATGCCAGGGCTGAATTATTGTCCAAGTCCACCCCTGTCCACAACATGGTTTAACCCAAAACCTTGACTTTGTTCGAGCACAACCATCACTTGGCGCTTGTCGCCTGGCATTTAAATCTAGGTATGTTGTCATCATTCCATTACACACAACCTCACGGTGTTCTATAGTACCTGGTGGTCTGGTGGGAGAAGTGCAGACCTTGCAGGACATACAAACAAACAAAAAACGAATATAAAAGTTTGAATCTGTTGATTACTATTTATTCTCTGGAGAAAGCCAACGATCACCCAAACTATTAGGCCTTTTATAATACAGCTAATTTACTGTATCAATTCTGCTACTGAGCCCTTCTGGAATTTTGGTATTAAAGGCCCCCAGTGCAGTCAAAAACGTAATTGTCCTGTGTTTTATATATACTGCATTTCCACACTATGTGCTTTGAATAATACTGTGAAATTGAGAAAATGATGATAATGCCATTTTATTGTAAAAGCTGTTTGAAAAGACCACCTGAAATGTCTGCCTGTATTGGTGAGATTGAGCTTTGGCCTGCCTGGTGACATCACCAGATAGTAAATTAGTTAATAGACCAATAAGAAATAGAGTTCCAAACCTTTCTGCTAATAACAGATAGTTTTCCTCTCCCCACTCAGACCTCTCCCAGACATTCCTAGCAAAACTCTTGCTTGAGATATATATATATATATATATATATATATATATATATATATATATATATATATATATATTTTTTTTTTTTTTTTTTTTTTAACGATTTTAATTGAAAACAATCACAGTAAGGTACTTAATTGTTACCCAGAGATTATTTGATATTGAGATTTTAAAAAGAAAACAGCTGTATTAGACCTTTAAACATGTGATAAGATGATAAAAGGCACTGTTTGTTATCTCAGAATTCCTGCATTTGTAAACATTGTTACTACCAGGTTGAATAACAATCTAAGTAACAATCTAAGGAACTGCTTGTTCTGTCTAAGACGGAAATTCTCAGAAAGTTGCTATAATGATGTGTTGGCTGAACTCAGACCATCTTTAAGTGTATTTTACCCAGCCACAATTCAGTCTGCTGGTAGAATCAATCAGCTTTAAATGACAATATAGAATGACAAACATTGATGAAAATAAAGAATTTAATGAATTTAAATGTAATGACCTCATGTATATGATGTATTCTAGAGGTAGACTGCAAAACAACACATAGGCACATAGGCCTACACCTTGTAAAACCCCGCTTATAAAACCTGTAGGACTGACCTATCATTGCGCACCTTTTACTCAAGATCAAGGCTTGTCAATGGAATGATGCGGTGATTGGTCGATAGCAAATGACGTTACCGAGAGAGGGGGAAAAAATCATAGGAGCATATAAATTAGGTCTATATTTAAAAGGGCGTGGTTTCATGTATTTCTATAAAATGAGTCACTTCCTTACCGGTATTTTAGTATTAACACGCCAAGGGAATTGACACTCTGGTGTACTATTTATTTATTTATTGTGGAATGGTTTAAACTTTAATTTAAACATGCTTGGCCTGTGCCTTTATGTGCCTGTTCCGAATTCGGATCCTATTGAATTCGAGTATTATGAGTCCAATGGACTACCGTTGGAGCTGAAATCGCTCTTCAAATTGAGTGTGTTTCTACCATCCCAAGAATGTTCAACTTATCGGAAATGGAGAAAGGTAAGACTTGCAGTCTATTCTTTTACATATGTCTTTATGCTTCGTCGAGGTTCACAGCAAGTTTTACATTTTGAGTGATTAATTTGGCTTTTCCTAAAAACGCACCTACTGCATAGTGCTGCATGTAATCCACCACTTCGGACCATAATGTTGAAAGATTTCTGCAGGAGGAATTGAATGCAAAAATGATTTAGACCCATGGAAGTCTGAATGCAAAAATGATTTAGACCCATGGAAGTCAAGATAGAACGCATAATTTCATATTACAGATTATGTAGACAGGCTTTAAAAATCTCTAAAAATCCCCCCCCCAAAGACTGCGTGACTCACAGATTCAAGACATGAAGTTCTTGGCAAAGGTTGGCATCGTGATTCGAGCCCTCATGTCTTCAGGCATGGGTATTAGTACCGTGGACATGTATCTATATCCTTAACGACAAGTCGACCTGCCAACTTGTGCTAAACCCATCTACCTACCTGGTCTAAAATAGACTGAGGCATCAGCAGTTGGGTTGCTGGCCTGGTGTTGATATTTGATCTACCGTCTTGAACTACAGGTATCTGCCAAAATAAAGGAAACCCCAAAAGAAGTGTCTTAATAGGGTGTTGTGCCACCAAGTGCCGCCAGAACACCTTCAATGCGCCTTAGCATAGATTCTACAAGTGTCTGTAACTCTATTTGAGGGATGCGACCCCCATACTTCCACAATAAATTCCATCATTTGGTGTTTTGTTGATTGTTGTGGAAAATGCTGTCTCAATTGGGTTGAGATCTGGTGACTGACACACACACACACACACACACACACACACATCCTTTAACCACTCTAAGCTCCTTTGAGACCCCTCTTTCGAAGTCACTGATATCTCTTCTAGCCAAAATAACGGACAACTGGGCATTTTTATACATGACCCTAGGCATGATGGGATGTTAACTACTTAATTAACTCAGGAACCACACCTGTGTGGAAGCACGTGCTTTCAATATGCTTTGTATCCCTCATTTACTGAAGTGTTCCCTTTATTTTGGCAGTTACCTGTGTGACAACGCTCCCATAGAGTGCAGTCTTTCTATCCATGTTACAGGCCTAATGTCACATTTGAAAGTGAAAACACGTTGTTCTCTCTCACACGTGACAAAATAGTTTTAAATGAAGGACAGGTTAGCCTAGATTTGAGTCAACGTCTTTCAACATATGGCCTTGGTGGTCTTTGCCTCAATCAGAGACATTGTTGAAAGGGTTTGTCTTGGCTGGATATTCAGGTGATGACACCATTGAGAAATGCACTGTTTGACATTATTCACACATAACAGTCACCTTACCCTCCTGCCAGGTGCTTCCATATATTCAATTAGTATTGTCCCCCTCCAGATAAGCCCCAGTCTTGGGTTTACTTTTGTGTAGCTCAGTGTAGCTCAGTTGGTAGAGCATGGCGCTTGCAACGCCCGGGTTGTGAGTTCGATTCCCACGGGGGGCCAGTATAGAAAACATTTTAAAATAATGTATGCACTCACTAACTGTAAGTCGCTCTGGATAAGAGCGTCTGCTAAAATGACTAAAATGTAAAAAAAATATACAAAAAAGATGTATTTGTTATTGTCCCTCTATGGTGTCGGTTATAAGAAAGCTATTTTGTTGATCATTTCATTTTTTGCCTCTGCAGAAAGCGGTGAAAAGTGCAGACAATGACCTGGATGGGCAGATGGTCTTTGAGGAGTTTGTTCACTATTTGCAAGATCAGGAGAAAGATCTGAAACTCATCTTCAAGAACCTGGACAGAAGGAGAGCTGGTATGCTATAATGCACAAATCAGATCTTACAGTTTTAGAACATGCCTAAGCTGCCATAAAATACAAATTTTTGTTCTGATTCAGGTGGAATTCTGATTTGTGATGAATTGTCTTCTTCCATTGTGATTCAGATAAAATTGATTCTAAGGAGATCATGCAGTCTCTCCAGGACCTTGGTGTTCACATATCCCAGCAGCATGCAGAGAAGGTCCTACAGAGGTAAGATATTAGGATGAAGCAGTGTTTCCTTATGATTTTGGTCAATGTTGTGTGTATAGCTATTATTACCAATTTGATTCATATTCTCAAGAGTTTATGGTTTTGTTTGAATCTTTTTTGAAATAGCATGGATAAGAATGGAACAATGACCATCGACTGGAATGAGTGGAGGAACTACCCTCTGCTACAGCCCAAAGGGAACAACATCCCTGAGATCACCCTCTACTGGAAACACTCCACGGTGAGGAAGGAGGGCGGATGGGGGAGAAGGTGTGAAATAGCTATCCACAAAGCAGAGAACACTTCTATTTAACATGAATTTGAGTACATACACTCTGTATCCACTGACAAAAGCCTTTACAGTTCAATATTGTGAATGGGAATGTTAATCCTATTACATAGATCTACACTGAATGGGCGTGTGTCACCAATTAAAGTCTTATTGGTGACTTTAATTGGTGTAGGATAGAAAAGCTCTGAATATAAGATCATGATTTAAAATACTTACAGGTTTAATTAATTGTCCCCTTATATAAAATGTCGATACAGGTTTAATTATCCCTTATGTAAAATGTTCATTACGTTTGTAAAGTGGGAGGAGACTAAAATTATTCCTTCACAGGACAGTGTGATCTTGGGCAGCATGTGGGTGGGGTATTGAAATACTGTACGCCTTAATGAGCGAAGCTGCATCTAAATCTTAGCCTGTTTACCTCTCCTATGTGCCAAGAGCTACAGAACAGCCTTTATAGGTTGAGCTCCGGCTAAAAATATTCAGAAGTACTCCCTTGGAGATGAGATGACCACCTAACACAAAGGCCAGGCAAAATGTCATGCAGCATTAACTCTTGAGTCACTTTGGCCTGACTAACTCGTGCCAGTAGTATTAATTACACTTATATAACAGGTGCTGCCAATTTCAGATTTTAACGCCATTTCTAAGGGCTTGGCTATCATTAAATAGTTTTCAGTTAGTGATTTGACGCTGGCATGGTAAAGATGGATAGAGCCTGTACTCTGGTATGGGTCTTTCAAAGGCACCTCTCTAGGGACTTGTACCCTAAGCTATGTCTGGGGAGTCTCCCTGGCTGACCAAGATTGTCATTTTGCAACAAACCGTGTTACAAGGAGGGAACATTCCCTTCAGTCATTCCCTTCACTCTGGTATGGGTCTTTCAAAGGCACCTCTCTAGGGACTTGTACCCTAAGCTATGTCTGGGGAGTCTCCCTGGCTGACCAAGATTGTCATTTTGCAACAAACCGTGTTACAAGGAGGGAACATTCCCTTCAGTCTTTACCCTTATAATATCAACAGTGCATGTCAAGTCTGAACCACGGCATTAAAGCAGAAGCATCCTTATGTTTTCTCTGGTTTGATGTCAGATTACACAGCAGTGTCCCAGAAATAACAGAACAGGAAACGTACAGAATCCAACTTGCTTCCTAACTCAGAACATTAAGTCCACTCTGACCTAAAGCCTCATAACCTGTAGACCTATGCTCTGAAGGGGTAAGCGCAGAATCTCCTCTGACGCACATTTAGCTGTCAATACTGCTTGTCCCTAGTCACCTCTAGGTGAATGGTTAGTGTAAACATGGGGCTGTAGAAATCCCACACACTGAAAATGTCAGGTCACCACTTCCTTATAGCTTGACTAAACTTGGCGTTGCAACTGCTTGGATAACTAATGTATTTTGGGACAAAGTAAATGGGCTAATAGTGGATAATTATACTAATGTTGTATATCTTTCTGCTCTCTCTAGCTGTTTGATGTAGGTGAGAATCTGATGGTGCCTGATGACTTCACAACAGAGGAGAAACTGACAGGGATGTGGTGGAGGCATCTGGTTGCAGGCGGAGGTGCAGGAGCAGTGTCCCGAACATTTACCGCCCCTTTAGACCGACTCAAAGTACTCATGCAGGTAAGAAGCCCTTGATCTACTGTCTTAATAGATACATCACAGCCCTGTATTCCCAACAACAGTTCAAGGCCTAGGAATGGTACACCTTGCCCTCAATTACCTATTCATTGTTGAGTGAAAGTGGGCATCTTCTGTAACCTGTAGGCACATAACAGAACTGTTGCAAGAGCGATTACCTAAGAGTCATAAATGGGTTAATGAGTACGTAAATTAGTTTGAGAGTACATGTGTCAGAACAGGGGGCAAGAGTCCTAGGGGCTGTTTGTTCTCCCCGGCTCATCCAACTGACCAATGACTGTGGCTGAGAACCAGCACACCTTCTCTGTTGAGATGTGATTGGCTGCAGCAGCAGATGAGTCAGAAGTGAGTAGATCAGATTTTACGTGATAGCAAATTGTGGACCGCCGATTGACGTCAGTGGGTCTGTTTGAACAGGTCGTCTAGAGTCATCTGTCGGTTGGTACAACTGACCCCAGTACACTTTGACTTGTTCCACATTGATTCCCCTGTTAAGCAAATATACTCACATTCTCAGAGCTAATGCCTCATTACTTAAATAACTTAATAAATGTTTTGAGAAGAAAAGGCCCAATTTCAGAGTTGAAATAAGCTTGCACAACATAGACTTTCGTGTAAATCATTAATTGACGTCAATGGGAGACTTGCATGAACATTTCAGTTAAGCGCACTGATCTCAAGTCAGAATACGGCCCTAATTATCTCATTGGTAATGTGACTTCTGTATGATAAACATTGATATTCTTGGTTTGTCAGGTCCATGGTTCCCGTAGCAACAACATGTGCATCATGAGTGGGCTCACCCAGATGATCAAAGAAGGTGGGATGAGGTCTCTGTGGAGAGGGAACGGAATCAACATCATCAAAATTGCCCCCGAATCCGCGATCAAGTTCATGGCCTATGAGCAGGTACTACATGCAATGCAACACCTGCTCCTATATCATTTTTCTTAATTTAGAGACGGTTTGGACTCATATATACTACCAGTCAAAAGTTTGGACACATCTACTCATTCAAGGGTTTTTATTTATTTATTTTTAAATTGTAGAATAATAGTGAAGACATAAACTATGAAATAACTCATATGGAATCATGTAGTAACCAAAAGTGTTAAACAAATCAAAACACTCTTGGCATTCTCTCAACCAGCTTCATGAGGTAGTCACCTGAAATGCATTTCAATTAACAGGTGTACCTTAAGTTAATTTGTGGAATTTTTTTATGCGTTTGTGCCAATCAGTTGTTGTGACAAGGAAGGGGGGTATACAGAAGAGAGCCCTATTTGGTAAAAGACGAAGTCCATATTATGGCAAGAACAGCTCAAATAAGCAAAGAGAAATGACAGTCCATCATTACTTTAGGACATGAAGGTCAGTCAATACAGAACATTTCAAGAACTTTGAAAGTTTCTTCAAGTGCAGTCGCAAAAACCATCAAGTGCTATGATGAAACTGGCTCTCATGAGGACCGCCACAGGAAAGGAAGACCCAGAGTTACCTCTGCTGCAGAGGATAAGTTCATTAGAGTTACCAGCCTCAGAAATTGCAGCCCAAATACATGCTTCACAGAGTTCAAGTCACAGACACATCTCAACATCAACTGTTCAGAGGAGACTGTGTGAATCAGGCCTTCATGTTCGAATTGCTGCAAAGAAACCACTACTAAAGGACACCAATAAGAAGATACTTGAAGGAAAAGTAGCCAACAAGTGCTCAGAATATATGGGAACTCCTTCAAGACTGTTGGAAAAGCATTTGAGGTGAAGCTGGTTGAGAGAATGCCAAGAGTGTGCAAAGCTGTCATCAAGGCAAAGGGTGGCTATTTGGAGATACTCAAATATAAAATATATTTTGATTAGTTTAACACTTTTTTTGGTTACTACACAATTCCATATGTATTATTTCATAGTTTTGATGTCTTCACTATTATTCTACAATGTAGAAAATAGTAAAAATAAAGAATAACCCTTGAATGAGTAGGTGTGTCCAAACGAGTGTGTGTGTGAGAGAACTCACTCATCTAAATTCCCTATGTGACGACCATGTTCTAACAGTTTGTCCTATCTCCTCCCCTCTCTCTCCTTTCAATGGTCACTCTGGCTTAGATCAAGCGTTTGATTGGCAGTGATAAGGAGACACTTAGCATCCTGGAGCGTTTTGTAGCTGGCTCTATGGCTGGAGTTATCGCTCAGAGCACCATCTACCCCATGGAGGTGAGCAGCCATCAATCATCACCCTCTAGCATTACAATTAGATCTGGAATGATTACATCAGGATAAGGACAAACATTTATGATTTTATATGCAAATAAGTTCGTAATGCCAATGTTTTCACTCCGATTACATTCCACCTGCTAGATTTTCAAAGTTGTTTTTATTTCTGCTCACCAGGTTCTGAAAACACGGCTTGCCCTGCGAAAGACTGGTCAGTACTCAGGCATCTCTGACTGTGCAAAGAACATCTTCAGGAGAGAGGGACTGGGTGCCTTTTACAAGGGCTTTATCCCCAATATGATGGGCATCATCCCCTACGCTGGAATCGACCTGGCTGTGTATGAGGTAAGAGGAGACCCAGAGAAGGCTGTTTTCACTGCATTGGATGCTCCATTTGGAATCGTCTCTGACTATGCTCCTTTTTCCACAGACATTGAAGAACTCTTGGTTAGAGAAGTATGGCACCAACAGTACTGACCCGGGAGTGTTAGTTCTGCTTGGATGTGGCACAGTCTCCAGCACCTGTGGTCAGCTGGCCAGCTACCCCCTGGCCCTTGTCAGGACCCGCATGCAGGCACAAGGTGAGACCTTCAACAATGCACACCTAATTTACACTGCTTATTGGAATATTTTCATTTTATTAAATGACTACATGTTTTGCTGTTCCTTGGCTCTATTGCCATTTATCTCCTATAGCCATGCTGGAGGGCAGCCCACAGATGACAATGTCAGGGCTCTTCAAACAAATCATCCAGACAGAAGGGGCCACTGGCCTCTACAGGGGCCTGGCCCCTAACTTCCTGAAGGTCATTCCAGCTGTCAGCATCAGCTATGTGGTGTACGAGAACCTGAAGACGTCGCTGGGAGTTAAGTCGCGATGAGGTGACTCACAACATCTGAATGGATCAACTGCTCAGAGTTGGGGGAGGGCGGGAAGAGACCCCTCAGAGTTGAGGCTAAGGAATCTCAGAGACTCTTGGTACTTGAGGTTTATGGAGCCATCTCATTCTGTGAATGCCAGAAGATGGAGAACAAGGGACAACAGAATGAAATGGAATTGACTCTGAGCTGAAAAGGAGGGAAGGGGGAGCTTCTCTCAATATTGCTATTGCTGCTATTATTTAATAGTTTATTTTAGAAGATCAATTGTTGCGTTGTGACCAGAATTCTATAAGGAATGTTGGTTAAATAGCTACTCAACTGAATGAGTAACTCTATAATTGGGGACCAATTATTGTTCTTGTTGCCAGTTTGTGGTAGAGTGCCTCTGTGAGAATGTTCCTGTCTCTCTATGGTTTCACTCAGTAAATCAGGTTGTGCAACAGTTCAAACTGCACAAGTCTCCTTAAGTAGAAACTACTTCAGTTATGCCCAATGCAAAAAACGTTTTTGGATTAACATGATGTATTAAGACATTTTCCTTAGCATTAACAGGTTTTCTGACTAGTTATTGGTTCTCTCCCCACATCTGCTTTTGTCTTTGCCTGATATGAAAATTATATTCATTAATATTCCCCTGTATGTAGGCAATTGGACAAAAGCGCATGTGGTGAATATTTTCCCTTCTCACTTAGTACAGATGAACAATTTATTCGCACTGCCATTTCTGACTGAATGACGCTGTATTTCTGATTTGAGTTAAGTATTTATTGATGTCCATATCGATCTAATATTTATTTCTGTTTTTTGTTTGTCTGGAGATTACATCGTTACGTTTTTGTTCAGAACACGGCAGTAACTGGCTTTATGTTCATAAGTTTGATTGTTATGGTTAACTAACTGAAGAGCCATATTATGTATGAATAAGTGGGTGTGTTTGCAAAATAAGATCACATGAGTTTTCAATTATTGCTTGAGTCAATTTTGCATATATTTGTCCTCTATTGGTTGTTTATTATCGAAATTAATTGCTTCTGTGTTGAGGGCAAATCTATGTATGTATTTGAGTTCTTGTGACGGTCAGAACAGTCTTGGTTTTCAGGTCACTTAATCAATGTCTTTGTACCTAAAACCAAAACTTGATTTTAGAGCTTTGAGTAGATTGATGAGTAACACTAATGTACTTTAATGCTGGAGACACATTTGAAGGTTTTGCATTACCTTTAGATACAATGTGGGAAATCACTTAAACTTTGGTTAAACCTTTTTTAATGGACCATTTGGTACAATGTTCTTTGAGCAAATTAAAAGTATTGTATAATATTCACGTCTTTGGTGTATTTCTTGACTCCTTGAGTGTGTCCCCTCACTTGGACGTGGCTGAGCGTAGATGTTCAATAAGGATCTTTCAGAAATATTCTAAATGTAAAAAAAAAAAAAATCCATCTTGAGTTTATTTGCGTGAAACATACATTGTATTGGCCTATAGTTATTGATTTATTTTTATTTTACTGATATGTTTGGTTTTTTGTCTTAATAGATTGGTTAATATTGTCCACTCTCCTTTAATTTTTGGTGATTAATTGAATTGTTGGTCATTAATTTCACCTGTCACTGCTGTGACCGGTGAGCCGCAATGCGTTGGTGCCCTTACATTTTTGCTATGCAATAAGCCGCTAAAATAAAGGCTTAACTTTTCCAGAAGAGTGCCTTGGATTTTTTAAAGTATGTTTTTACACAGCTGCAGCTTCATTTGGTCACTATATAAGTTATACCCGCTCTCAGATGAGCACCCTTGTCTTATGTCAGGACTATTCAATCTGGTGGCCGCGGGCCAGATCCGGCCCGTTCATTTACTTTGGCCCGTTTAAAGCGTTCTGAACATTTAATAAAAGATCTGGAGAGAGAGAATCTCCAAAATCCAACATTCAGTGCCAAAATGACTAACTATTATGTGGTTTTAGCGCCTATGTGGCATGTTGATTTATTTTATTTATATTAATTTAGCTCTAGTGTTTGAACGGTTTAAGCTAGAAAATATTATGACCCCATTCCTGAAAACGAAGACTCTCAGGAACACATGCCTTCTCTTTTCCTCTGATGCTCACAAGGACTCTTTAGAAGGGAGTGTGACAAAAAAATGCACCTAATGACTGAGGGAAATTAATTCAAAGTATACTTCCTACAGACTGAAATTTGGCATTACCTGATTTGACATACCTTTGTGTTAATTATTGAGATGCTTAGTTTTCAGATTATTTAAAAATGACTACTTTTAAGAAGCTTTTAATAGTTTAAATAAAATTAAATAAATGGTGAGTGAGCATTGTGCCTTTTTCTTTTCAATGATTACAAACAAAACACCCCTTTTTCTTGCCTTACAAAAATAAATTGAACAATATTTTAAGACAATTAAAAGAGCTGTTAGAATTATAAATGTGTGTATATCCCTTAAGGTCTTTGTGTAATTTGTTATTGTACCCCCTAGCCCAACTGTCCTTTGTATATTATGTATGTATACTTGTGTTCCTCGTGTACCTTTTGTTTTGACTTATTGTTAATAAAAAATAAATAAGGATAGCAGAGGAAAATGGCGTCCCTTGAGAGGGCAAGAATGAGATGTTTGTTAGGAGAAGTGCAATGTCATAAGAATAAGTATTCTTGGAATACAGAGGAGGTAGAGGGTGAGCTTGAATCGGTTGAAAATGGCTGGAAAAAAGGGAGATGGTTTGTCGAAGATTAATAGTGGTGTAAACAGAGTGACCCATACGCCGGGTCGAGGTCTGGAGGAGAAATGGAAGTGAGTGAAGGTAAATTATCGGAGGTTGTAGGTGTGAAGTTCTCGGAGCCCGAGGCTTGCACAGATGGTCAGGATAAAGATTAGTCATGGTTGGAGTGGAGAAAGTGGATCCCTGCCTTTTGGCTGATCCATATGTGGTTTCAGGGAGGGTGAAAATGGAGTTGGGTGCTGTGGAATTGGTAAAGATAACCCGAAGTGGTCTTGTGATAACTGTTTGTGTTTCTGCTGGTCAGTGGGAGTGGGCGCTCCGCGCCATACGAAAGGGGACAAGAGCTGTGACTTGTTTTGCTCTCACGAAAAGGGCGCCATTGAAAGGAATGATTACTGGGGTAGCTGTAAATGTGGAAATGGACCAACTGAAGGGGAAGATTCCCGATGTTTGTGATGCTTGTTATTTGGTGTGACGCAGACAAGGTGGCGTGAGTGGTGAAACAGAAGATTCATTGTCTGTTCTTTTGAGTTTTGATGTTGAGTCTTTGCCCGACTAAGTGATGTTAGGATATTTCAGTTATCCCATAAGAGCTTGTGCCGAATCCATTATGTTGTTACAGGTGTCAAGCTTATGGGCATGTGGCAGCAGTGTGTAGGAGCAGGGAGGTTCCTAGGTGTGAGAAGTATGCAGAAGGGCATGAGACAAAGAAGCGGCATGTGTTTGTTGTAGGGGTGCCCATGGGGCTCGGGGTCAGAAGTGTACGGTGCGAGAGAGGCAGGTTGAGGTTACCAGGGTTAGAGTAGTGCAGAGGGTGTCATATGCTGAGACAGTGAAGAAAGTAGAGGAAGATGGGTCAAGGGGGAGGGATCCTGAGAGGATTTGTGTAAGTAGTAGATCTGTGCCAGCTTAGAGGGATAGGCCAACGAGTGATATATGCTTCAGTAAGATTGGCTTTTTAGCATTCATAGTAGGGCTGTCCCCGCCTGAAAAAAATCTTGGTTGATTGAAAGTCGTCTGTTCTTCGACCAAATTTAGTCAATATTTTCACAGATTCTGCCATTACTCTCCCGAAGTTGCCGGTAATAGGCTACGGGAGGAGTCGGCAACCTTTCTCATGTGGAATGCCAATTTATCTTACCATTTCTACCGATCTGCGTGAACTTGTATAAAATATTCTGGGTCCTCAGAGTTTCCAGCGCCAGTGAGCTCAGGACAGACACAGCTGTAGGCTATTTGTGCAAGGGATAAGCAGTGCTCGACTTGGGCAGGAGCTCACCGGAGCTGAGTACCGGTACCTCAAATGTTCTACTGCTTGAGCTCCTGTTCCTCTTATAGAATATTAGCTCAAAGGTATTGTGGAGCTCCTGCACCTTAATATAAACAGTATCACCACCCAAAATGAGTACCGGAACCTATTTCAGTCCAAGTCAAGCACTGATAAGAAGTAATCAGGTAGGCCTATTTTATGAAGTTTCCACTGGATCAGAGCATGACATTTTTCCCTTTCACGCTGAGTGGTTATCGAAAGACAGAGAGCTGGAAAGATTTTTCAATTACATTGAGAAACTATTGTAATTCTCAATGGATGTAAAAACAGACTTTGTTTGCTTGCTGTTTGAGGTGAAGAAAACATTAATTTGAGAAGCTCCACAGTTCATCAGTGGTGGTGCATTAAGCCAATCAGAAATACTATCAGATCCCCAAATGAGCACATTTATATGCCTATATTTGCGCTCAGGCCAGGTAGCCTATGGGCCTACTTCTATACTTGTGTGTCCTTACTCAACATTGACAGGAGAGCTCCAAACAAAAGACAATGACTAAATTGACTAAACTCATAAATGGAATGAAATCAACCAAAACTTGTTTCTCACAAGTGTAGCATAGGTTGTGCACTCTGCAAACAATGTGTCTACTCCGACAATAACTGGAAGGCTGGAATAATAATATTGAATTCATTCACATAAATTACCATAACCAAAGTAACAAACATTGTAGATGAGAAATTATAGGAATTAACAGTAAATGTACTACTGGTGATATATGTAAAGGGGAATTGATATACACTAACAATCAAACCCAAACAACTCACACAATTAAGTTATGAATCAATGAATGTGCACAAATTGGCAGGAGAGAGCCCATTCTGGAGAGAGAAGTGCATTGTGCATCTAGGCGCATGGTTTATCCAACTTCTGCATTGGCCATGCAGCATTTACGGTGATATGACCTCAGCAGAAGTCAGGGCATTCATACTTCTTGTGCTTCGTGGAGCAGTGCAGAGCGGTTGCCAAGGAAGTGAGTTTGTGTTTTCTACCGCCAACCAATCATGTCAATGTGGAGCTATACAGAGCCCTCCGCATTGTTACACATTTTGGGAGGCACATGGCGATGCGGTACGGAGCTCGATTTGGCTTCTGCATGCCTCTGGAGGCTCTGAAATTGCATCACACCCTCCATATGGAGCCTCCGACCACATTTTCAGATCAAGTATAAACTGGCTTTTAGTATAGGCCTCTGCAATGGATTAGTTCACTGAGATGGGCGCATAAAACAATCTTGGTCGACCAACAGCCTAACGACCAAACAATCGACCAGTTGACTAATTGGGGTCAGCCCTAGTTCATAGTATTGGTAATCCACAGGGATGGAACGTAAAGTCGCAGAAAATGTTGTGGTGGAGGCTGCAGAAAAGTATTTGGGTGTAGGAGATATGGCATCAGAAGAGTTACAAGGTGTGTTGACTAGTGGAGTCCAGTCTTCTCAGGCCGTTGGCCTGAGGTAGGACCAGTTAGGTTTAAATGGTGGAATAGGGTGGTGGGATTTTAATGAGTGTAGGGTTAGATGGCAGGGTATTTTTATTTATCTATTATTTTTCTTTTTACTTTCCCCTTTTTCACACAAAGTATAAGGGTTTATACCCCAGTCTAGTTGGTGGCGGTAAGGCAACATTTATTGGATGCCAACCGCCGTTAAACCTCATTGAAGAAGAATAACTTTGCTAGCTAGCTAGTGTCCGACTTCGATTGTGCCACGATGTTTAAAAATGTGTTTCGATTTGGTTTTCTAATTAGGACCGTACATGTCATCCTAACATGGGTTATCACACTGATACTATTCTTATATTACACTTGTAAATTACTCTTCGAGGTGAACCAATTTCATTAGCCATTTAGCTAGCTAGCTAACGTTAGCTTGCCAGGCAAGACAGACTGGGAGACTGTCACATTATGACAACAATACGAGCTAGTGATAGCTTGCAGGCTAGCCAGCCTTATAATTTAGCCAAAGTGAATACAATAGTAATTTTAACAGCTTTCCACTTGTTGCTGTGTTGGATTTCTGTGGTGTTTTGGTGACTTTATATCTCACCTGTTAAGACCTGCAAAGACAAGAGGAGAATGGAGAGTTGATGCAGCGTGTAGTGTTTTCCTTGCTGGTCCTGCTGTCAGTGATGCTGTATTTCACTGTCTCTCTGATGGACCCGGGCTTTGTTCACTCTGTCAAGGTGAACAATATCTTCCACCAACCACCCTAAAAGCCCTTCTTATGAGATGTATTCCTTTCTGCTATTACATTATCTTTGCCCTTGAATGTGTTAGTGTGAAGAGAGATGGAGATGATACCTCAAAACCCCATGTCAGTAGAACCGATGTGGATGTGGTGGAGGAGTCAGGCGCAGGACACAGAGGCTTCGTCCAACAGACTTTACTAGTCAAAAGTGCTAAATTACAATACACGGCCTCGAAAACAAACAGAGGCGAGTGAATACGTAAACCATGCGTAAACACTAAACAAACAAACAGAGCGTCAAAACGCAGCTCCGAAAATACAGGCAGACAACAACACACAATCTAACCAATACCAAACAGGGAACTTATAGGACACGTAATCAGAACACAAACAGACACAGGTGTACAAGACAGACCAAAGCAATCACACCACGAAACATTCAACGGTGGCAGCTAGTACTCCGGGGACGGCGAACGCCGAAGCCTGCCCGAACCAGGAGGAGGAGCAGTCTCGGCCGAAACCGTGACACCCCACTCCTCATCTGCGCCGGTGTGGCTCCTTTCTACTAACATAACTTATATACTTACATTACCACAATCTTAGATCACAGATTAAATGACATATTGGGTGTGTGTTATGTTGTTGTTAGTATGTATGGCTTCTTCTCTCCCCTTGGTCTCAAGCAGCAGCCCATGAGAGCTAAGCACTGCCAGAGCTGTAAACATTGTGTAAGGGGGTTTGACCATCACTGTCCATGGATAGAGAATTGTGTGGGTGTGAGGAACCACTGCAAGTTCATCATCTATCTGGCCGTGCAGCTGCTTGCTCTACTCTGGGCCCTGCAGATTGCTTGGTGAGTGTGGGTGATTTAACCTGATGTGGGTAGCTCAGAGTTATTATCCCTGAGATGTAGTTGAAATACTTTTGGTCCCACATACACAATGGTTCCCTTGTTGTATTATTGCTGTAAATATAATTTGATGTACTGTTAAATGACACATATGTTCTGTCTTTCAGCTCAGGTTTCCATTCAGCCGCCACTTGGAAACTGTGGCTCAGTGTGAATGGGTTTCTGCTGGCGGCGCTGTGTGTTGTAGGTGTGTTGTCCATGGTGTGTTGGTCCTCTCTGGGCTGTCACCTCTATCTGATCTCCATCAACCCACCCCTGGGAGTTCATGTCCCGCCACCGGCTCTCCTACCTGAAGAGCTACATTGAAGAGGAGAACCCCTTTATCGGGCATTCTCTGCACCTCTTTGGGGCTTCTTCTCAATGTTTTCGAACTGTGGTGTGGTAGCAGGTGTCCACAGAGGGAGACATAATCACGTCTGACCACTCTACAGACACCATGCTCATACCAGGCTATAGCATTAAGAAAGGGTCTTGGCACCGCTTAGAACGTCCATTCTGCCTTCCTTCATCATTTAGACTTTTAGCCAAGTTGAAGTAGTGTACAATAGAAAGTGCCTTCTGTTTTGATATTTATGCAGTTCATTGTCCTGTGGATTTTTTATTTTTTATTGTTTTGTTTAACTGAGTTATATTTTACTGAGTCATTGAGTATGTATTTGTGTCATGTTGAACTAATGATGTACTGTAATATTGAAAGGTGTTGAACAAAAAATTTATGCAATAACTTTAGGACTCTGTTTAATATGTTGAAACGCTTGATGAATTTGTACCTGTATTGTTTGATAAAACTTTTTACACTCATTAATTGGAAATAATGTATTCATATTTTTGTATTTATTTACATAGATGACACCAAACACTAGTGAAATCATGAATATGCATTCATTTTATCTCATTTGCATTCATTGATGTGGTAATCCACATACATTCATACGGTAATGCATAATTATTAGCAGCAACTATTGAACCGTTTTAATGGCAAAATAAATACTGTACCATCATAATCAACTATTACATTTTAGTCATTTAGCAGACGCTCTTATCCAGAGTTACTTACAGTTAGTGAGTGTATACATTTTTCATACTGGCCCCCCGTGGGAATCGAACCCACAACCCTGACGTTGCAAGCGCCATGCTCTACCAACTGAGCTACAGGAGGCCTATTAGGCTTTCACTTCGCAATCTCACTCATTATTGCATTATAAGTGCTCAAACACACAATATTGGTTTATTCATTAATATGTCTACATTATTTAATGGCTTCAACTGTTTACATAAAACTAAGTTCACAACAAGTGTGCCATGCACATTTTAGTCACACTAAAAATAATACATTGGCTGGTAGGTAAATATGTTAGTAGTTAGTAACACAGACCTTGCTGGTGGGGAATGACTGGACCCAGGTATGAGAACATGGCATTTTTCATCTTCACACACATTTTTTTTTTTGAAAAGGACGTATTGTAACAAGAATAAACAGCCTTTTAAATTTGCTTAGTCAAGGCAGTGGGCAAAGCCTCTCACAGTGAAGCAGTGTGTACCTCTCTGATGGGGACAGAGTGGTCTGATAATAGCAAAATAAGCAAAGGCTACAAAGCATGCTCAAATTCTGTCCCCATAGACCTCTCATCAAATTCCTTGATGTTTTGTATATGGCAGCCATTTTCATTTGAGTGAAATCCATTCAAGCGAGCATTACACAGTAGTGTTAATTTTTGGATGTCACTGGGTACTATAAACAATGAAACAGTCATAGAACTAGGACGTCAGACTCATTCATGGCACAAAAATACCATGGTTGCATTCATGTATCCTGCTTAGTTGGGTTTGTTGATGTTGGCTTTGATGACAGTGAGGACAGTCTGCCTCATCTATGTACCATTGGGGTGTCCTACATTCAGTTAATGTCAGTTAACCTCTTAAGGATCGTACCCTTTTTTTCAATTTTCGCCTAAAATGACATACCCAAATCCAATTGCCTGTAGCTCAGGAACTGAAGCAAGGATATGCATATTATTGATACCATTTGAAAAGAAACACTTTTAAGTTTGTGGAAATTTGAAATTAATGTAGGAGAATATAACACATTAGATCTGGTAAAAGATAATACAAACAAAAAAACATGCGTATTTTCTTATTAAATTTTTTCATCATCTTTGAAATGCAAGAGAAAGGCCACAACATAATATTGTAGTTTAGGCGCAATTTAGCAGTGTGTGTGCAAAGTTTCAGATTGATCCAGTGAAGCATTGCAATACTGGACTATTTTGTATCAAGTCTACCCAAATGTGCCGAATTGGTCAATTGATACATTTTCAAGTACATAACTATAGAGAACATACAAAAAGGATATGATAATACAAAATGTAAGTTTACACACTCCCAGGAATGTCATACATGATGGATCATTAGCTTATACACTAACTTTCACACATCTAGATGGCCGGGCGGGGTGGGTGTGGAGCCAGAGATAACAAGGGTTCAAACTGTAGGACCCAGTTCCTACATTTGAATATAAAAATGGATTTTATCAAATAAAACTATGCTACATTTTATCTCTGGGACCCTCAGGATGACAAATCAGAGCAAGATTACTGAATGTAAGTACATTATTTACCTTCAGAGGTGAATGTATCAAACCAGTTGCCGTGATAAGTTTTTGTTGTTGTGCACTCTCCTCAAACAATAGCATGGTCTTTTTCACTGTAATAGCTACTGTAAATTGGACAGTGCAGTTAGATGAACAAGAATTTACGCTTTCTGCCCATATAAGACATGTCTATGTCCTGGAAAGTTTGCTGTTACTTGCAACAGTCATGCTAATCACATTAGCGCACGTTAGCTCAACCGTCCCGTATACGGGACACCGATCCCGTAGAAGTTAAGAAAAGGTTGTGCTAGGCAACTGTTCATGCAACCGTTTCATGACCTGGATGCAACCCTCTGTCTCTGACTGCTTCATCCATGCAGAGATGAGAAGTCAGTGTGTGAAAGCATCCTGCTGCTCAGGGGAGAGGCTGCAGGACACTAGAGGAGGTGACAGAGTCGGCTGGAGAGTCGTGAACTCGCTGTTAAAGTTACTGATGTCCACAGACTCCTTGATTTTTAGCAGGAACGGAAGATAAACTTTTTTAGCTAGCAGTGCATCCCAGTCTATAGTCTGTTTGTCAAATAGATATGAGTTAAGTTACAAAATATAAGGTATTCTCCCACAAGCATCTCAAAGATAAGGCTGATGCATCTATATCTAAAAGCATTGATTGAAAATGAGTTGAACTAAACTACCTTGAAAAATTGCTCGCACTTGACTTAATTTATGTCCCCCTTTCCGGCTCCCAGTCTTTTCTCTGGATTCCTCTTAAGAAGCTGCAGGGAGTAGGGGTATGATTAGGGATCAGCATGTACAGACAGGGTGATGGTTCAAAACAAACACTGGTATCTTCAAAACAAAACTCTTTCTGAACAGTTCCTGTCACGATCGTCGTAGGGAATAGACCAAGGCGCAGCGTGATGAACGAACATGTTTGACTTTATTATCTTTAGTGATAATAGACAACAATCAACAAAACAAGAAACGACTCGTGAAGTCCACGGTAACAATGACCAACACGGAACAAGAACCCACAAACACAAAGGGAAAACAGACAGTTTAAATATGGCTCCCAATCAGAGACAACCAACGACAGCTGACACTCGTTGCCTCTGATTGGGAGTCACTCTAGCCAACATAGAAATAAACACAACAGAATGAACACACCCTGGCTCAACATATAGAGTCCCAGAGCCAGGGTGTGACAGTACCCCCCCCTAAAGGCGCGGACTGCGACCGCGCCTCGACTAGAGCAAAACAGGGGAGGGCTGGGTGGGCATTCATCCTCGGCGGCGGTTCTGGCTCCGGGCTTGCCCACCACCCTCCAATAATCCCCCCATAGCGCCCCTGGTCCGGTCTGGCCCCGCTGGCTGGAGCTGGACTGGACGTAGCAGGAGCGGTTAGCTTCAGCTCCGTAGTGGAGCAGTTGACCGGTACCTGGTTAGGCACCGGTGACCCAGGCACGGGTTGTGCCGGACTGACGACGCGCACCCCTGGCTTGGTGCGTGGGACAGGAACGGGCCTCACCGGACTGACGACTCGCACCCCTGGCTTGGTGCGTGGAGCAGCAACGGGCTGGACCGGGCTGACGATGCGCACCCCTGGCTTGGTGCGTGGAGCCGGAACGGGCCTCACCGGACTGACGACTCGCACCCCTGGCTTGGTGCGTGGAGCAGCAACGGGCCGGACCGGGCTGACGATGCGCACCCCTGGCTTGGTGCGTGGAGCCGGAACGGGCCTCACCGGACTGACGACTCGCACCCCTGGCTTGGTGCGTGGAGCAGCAACGGGCCGGACCGGGCTGACGATGCGCACCCCTGGCTTGGTGCGTGGAGCCGGAACGGGCTTTACCAGGCTGACGACTCGCACCCCTGGCTTGGTGCGTGGAGCAGCGACGGGCTTTACCAGGCTGACGACTCGCACCCCTGGCTTGGTGCGAGTAGCAGGAACAGGCCGGGCCGGGCTAGCGACGCGCACTGTAGGCTTGGTGCGAGTGGCAGGAACAGGCCGGGCCGGGCTGGCGACGCACATCGTAGGTTTGGTGCGAGGAGCAGGAACAGGCCGGGCCGGCGACGCGCACCGTAGGCTTGGTGCGAGTGGCAGGAACAGGCCGGGCCGGGCTGGCGACGCGCACCGTAGATTTGGTGCGAGTGGCAGGAACAGGCCGGGCCGGGCTGGCGACGCACACCGTAGACTTGGTGCGAGGAGCAGGAACAGGCCGGGCCGGGCTGGCGACGCGCACCGTAGGCTTGGTGCGAGTGGCAGGAACAGGCCGGGCCGGGCTGGCGACGCGCACCGTAGATTTGGTGCGAGTGGCAGGAACAGGCCGGGCCGGGCTGGCGACGCACACCGTAGACTTGGTGCGAGTGGCAGGAACAGGCCGGGCCGGGCTGGCGACGCACACCGTAGGCTTGGTGCGAGGGGCAGGAACAGGCCGGACCGGGCTGGCGACGCACACCGTAGGCTTGGTGCGAGAGGCAGGAACAGGCCGGACCGGGCTGGCGACGCGCACCGTACATTTGGTGCGAGGGGCCGTAACAGGCCGGACCATACTGGGGACACACACCACTGGCTCTACCCCGGGATCTGGAACGGGCCGGACCGGACTGGTAACACACCCAAGTACCTCTCGCCGTGCCTCTAAACCTTCTTTCCCTACTTTGACCAGTGGCCCCCGTAACCTGGTGGCCTTCTGAATATGCCCCTTTTCTGCCTCCGTCCGCCCCGTCGTCCATGCCCTGTGCCCCCCCCCTAAATTTTTTTTGGGGTTGCCTCTCGTCAGCCCGACGACGACACTGATCACGCCGTTGCTCCTCTCTCCGTTGCCTCTCTACTGTCTCACTCCATGGCCGGCGATCCATCCCGGCCAGGATTTCCTCCCAGGTCCAGGACCCCTGTCCGTCTAAGATCTGCTCCCACGTCCAGGCTGCCTGCTCCTGGACACGCTGCTTGGTCCTGTGATGGTGGGTTCTTCTGTCACGATCATCGTAGGGAATAGACCAAGGCGCAGCGTGATGAACGAACATGTTTGACTTTATTATCTTTAGTGATAATAGAACAACAATCAACAAAACAATAAACGACTCGTAACGTCCAACGGTAACAATGACCAAACACGGAACAAGAACCCACAAACACAAAGGGAAAAACAGACAGTTTAAATATGGCTCCCAATCAGAGACAACGCGTGTCAGCTGGTGCTGGTTGTCTCTGATTGGGAGCCATATTTAAACTGTCTGTTTTTCCCTTTGTGTTTGTGGGTTCTTGTTCCGTGTTTGGTCATTGTTACCGTTGGACATTACGAGTCGTTTATTGTTTTGTTGATTGTTGTTCTATTATCACTAAAGATAATAAAGTCAAGCATGTTCGTTCATCACGCTGCGCCTTGGTCTATTCCCTACGACGATCGTGACAGTTCCCAAATACAGTGGGGGAAAAAGTATTTAGTCAGCCACCAATTGTGCAAGTTCTCCCACTTAAAAAGATGAGAGAGGCCTGTAATTTTCATCATAGGTACACGTCAACTATGACAGACAAATTGAGCATTTTTTTTCCAGAAAATCACATTGTAGGATTTTTAATGAATTTATTTGCAAATTATGGTGGAAAATAAGTATTTGGTCACCTACAAACAAGCAAGATTTCTGGCTCTCACAGACCTGTAACTTCTTCTTTAAGAGGCTCCTCTGTCCTCCACTCGTTACCTGTATTAATGGCACCTGTTTGAACTTGTTATCAGTATAAAAGACACCTGTCCAGGGGCGGTGTGTTCAATAGGGCGATATGGGCGACGCACTGCCAAACGGGAAAAGGAAGGGATTTTTTTTCTAATCAATTATATCACGGCAACAGTAGTTATCAGTGTTGTAATCTAGACGTCTGATCTGCCACAGTGCCACTAAATGTCCAATCAGGCTAAAGTCGTGCTTCAAATGGCCCCCCCCCCTTTTGGGGCGATTTCAGTCAGGTTGAAAATCGCCCAGAAGTCTGTCATAGACTCCCATGTAAAATCTATTTTTTTCAAATATCAGAGCTTTCAATACAATCTTAATGGGTTTCTGAGGGCTTGCACTTACGCGCTTTCGTCATACGTAACATAACCATGAACGTAACTAAGAAAAGAGCGGGTAGCCTCGTCAATCAATTCACTACTACTATCAAAATGGCTAGGCTTCAGTGCAACTCGATTGTGTCTTTGAAAGAAGTTCCTTTTTGTCGGCGAACAAATGAAGATAAATTGGCAACGAAACAATTAGGACCTCCCAGACCAAATTTAATAATTCAACAGGTTTCTACTAAAGGGGGGAAGTCCTACACCCGAGGATTTTCCAAAAATTGGTACAAACGAAAAAACCTGGCTAGCAGGCTGCGATGTAGCTAATGCAGTCTTCTGATACCCCCTGCTTACTCTTTCACCCTGAAGGCGGCACGGCAGACAGCACCGCTTGGACAGCGACTGGTGTGTAACGGACATGCACCATCTTTCAGGAAAGATTAAGAAACATGAGCTGTCAAAGACCCACATGGATAGCTGTTTGAGATTGTCTGCTTTGGGGAGAGTGAACATTCCCACTCAACTGGATGAGGGATACAGGCTAGCTGTCCGCCGCCACAACGATGAGGTTAGTGTTGATAATCACAAGTTTACTGGAGAACTGAAACTGACAAGGCTGACAAGATAGGACCCTTTTGTCCATTGTTATTGGATAGGAACATAACTTATAACCAGCTCCTGACCTAAATAGATCTTAGCACAACATTTTACTCAACATATCATATTCCATATTCACTATAACAAATATATTTACTACGACATTAGCAAGAACCGCCACATCCTCAGCCGGCTAATCCAGTGTGTGAAGTTTTGCGGAGTGTTTGAGTTAGCTTTGCGAGGCAAAGATGAAACTGAGGGCTCCACCAACCCTGGTAAGCCAACACTTTTGAGATCAGTCAATAAATGCTTCTGGTATTGACTTATATGCTGCCCCTGTCTTCATGTTGTTGCTGGACATATCTTTTTTAAAATGTGTGTAGGTCACCTAAATCATCAGAAAAATTGCCCCCCCTGAGAATTTTTTCAGGAGCCGCCACTGCACCTGTCCACAACCTCAAACAGTCACACTCCAAACTCCACTATGGCCAAGACCAAAGAGCTGTCAAAGGACACCAGAAACAAAATTGTAGACCTGCACCAGGCTGGGAAGACTGAATCTGCAATAGGTAAGCAGCTTGGTTTGAAGAAATCAACTGTGGGAGCAATTATTAGGAAATGGAAGACATACAAGACCACTGATAATCTCCCTCGATCTGGGGCTCCACGCAAGATCTCACCCCGTGGGGTCAAAATTATCACAAGAACGGTGAGCAAAAATCCCAGAACCACACGGGGGGACCTAGTGAATGACCTGCAGAGAGCTGGGACCAAAGTAACAAAGCCTACCATCAGTAACACACTACGCCGCCAGGGACTCAAATCCTGCAGTGCCAGACGTGTCCCCCTGCTTAAGCCAGTACATGTCCAGGCCCGTCTGAAGTTTGCTAGAGTGCATTTGGATGATCCAGAAGAGGATTGGGAGAATGTCATATGGTCAGATGAAACCAAAATAGAACTTTTTGGTAAAAACTCAACTCGTCGTGTTTGGAGGACAAAGAATGCTGAGTTGCATCCAAAGAACACCATACCTACTGTGAAGCATGGGGGTGGAAACATCATGCTTTGGGGCTGTTTTTCTGCAAAGGGACCAGGACAACTGATCCGTGTAAAGGAAAGAATGAATGGGGCCATGTATCGTGAGATTTTGAGTGAAAACCTCCTTCCATCAGCAAGGGCATTGAAGATGAAACGTGGCTGGGTCTTTCAGCATGACAATGATCCTAAACACACCGCCCGGGCAACGAAGCAGTGGCTTCGTAAGAAGCATTTCAAGGTCCTGGAGTGGCCTAGCCAGTCTCCAGATCTCAACCCCATAGAAAATCTTTGGAGGGAGTTGAAAGTCCGTGTTGCCCAGCGACAGCCCCAAAACATCACTGCTCTAGAGGAGATCTGCATGGAGGAATGGCCAAAATACCAGCAACAGTGTGTGAAAACCTTGTGAAGGCTTACAGAAAACGTTTGACCTGTGTCATTGCCAACAAAGGGTATATAACAAAGTATTGAGAAACTTTTGTTATTGACCAAATACTTATTTTCCACCATAATTTGCAAATAAATTCATAAAAAATCCTACAATGTGATTTTCTGGATTTTTTTTCTCATTTTGTCTGTCATAGTTGACGTGTACCTATGATGAAAATTACAGGCCTCTCTCATCTTTTTAAGTGGGAGAACTTGCACAATTCGTGGCTGACTAAATACTTTTTCCCCCACTGTATATACAAATATGAAAGACAAAATTAGAAGAGAAAGGAGGGTTGTTACCTTTTGAAGGATGGAGTCTGGAGAGAGGCATCCAGGATAATGAACATCATCATTAACTATGCTGTCAAACACCTCTTCATCTTCTCCTGGGAATGGAGACTGGCCAAAGATTGATAGAGAGAAGGCTTTATTCTGTTTTATAACTAGTCATTGAAACTACATAACGTTACATATCTGTGCATTTGTGGTTATTAATTTCTCTTTGCATTTATTATGGATCCCCATTAGCTGCTGCCAAAGCAGCAGCTACTCTTCCTGGGGTCCAGCAAAATTAAGACAGTTATATATTTTTAAAAACATTACAATACATTCATAACAGATTTCACAACATATTAAGTCTGTGCCCTCAGGCCTCTACTCTACTACCACATATCTATAACACAAAATCCATGTGTACATGTGTGTATAGTGCGTATGTTATCGTGTGTTTGTATGCATGTGTCTATGTTGGTGTTGCTTGTTTGTGACGAACTGTTTTAGTCTGTCTGTGTTTTAGGGAGTGCGTTTTTGGTGTTTATCACTTACCTCTCCCACAAGCATCTCAAAGATAAGGACGCCCATTCCCCACCAGTCCACAGCTCGTGTGTAGTTATCATCAGTAAGCACCTCAGGCACCAGGAACTCTGGGGTTCCACAGAATGTTGACGTCTGGTCACCATGCCCCATCCCTGCCAGGACAACAGCAGATGGAGCAGTGTTTAACTACACACACAGTTTTAAATATGTAATTTCCATGCATACCCACATACTCTGTCACATATGATAAACCATAATTTGACCTTCTTTACAAAGTCCAAAGTCTGTGATTTTAACAGATCCATCTGCGTCCATCAGCAAGTTGTCCATCTTCAAATACCTGTGTAAAACACTTCTAATTTAAATAAGTTGCAGATGCAAGCTATAGCTGTATTTAGCGCTGGTTTATAACACCCGTCAGTCAAATGACTCAGACACGACTTACCAATAAACTATCTTACTTACTCTAGACCCAGCAGAACACAGGCTGAGTAGAACCTGTAACACAAAGAAAAGTCAAGAAAATCTAAGAGAAGTCAAGACAATCCAAAAATGTACTGTTAAGTGTGTGTGTGTGTGTGTGTGTGTGTGTGTGTGTGTGTGTGTGTGTGTGTGTGTGTGTGTGTGTGTGTGTGTGTGTGTGTGTGTGTGTGTGTGTGTGTGTGTGTGTGTGTGTGTGTGTGTGTGTGTGTGTGTGTGTGTGTGTGTGTGTGTGTGTGTGTGTGTGTGTGTGTGTGTGTGTGTGTGTGTGTCTCCTTTAGCTCAGTTGGTAGAGCGTGGCGCTTGCAACGCCAGGGTTGTGGGTTCGTTTCCCATGGGGGGCCAGTATGAAAAATGTATGCACTCACTAACTGTAAGTCGCTCTGGATAAGAGCGTCTGCTAAATGACTAAAATGTTTAAAAAATTTAAAATCTTGTAAGGTACAACTCACCTGGTCTGCACCTCAGAGAAGACGTTATTGTGGATATGGATCATGACGTCACCCCCTGGCGAGTACAAAACACACATGCTCACTTGTCTGGAAGCAGCCGTACAGGTTGACTAGAAAAGGGTGCCTCGATGCGTTGATCATCTCGAAGATCCTCCTCTCACACATAAGGCTGTCAAGCCATCAGAGAGAGCATTTCTTACTGTAAATAAGTTATTATCTGTGGGTATCACTGCTGTACTACTGTATTTGTGTTAAGTGAGCAAGCCTATCCATTGTATGGTATACTATATCATTATGTCTACTATTCTTAATAAAGAACACTAACCTGTCCACTTCATCATGGGTCACAATGTCCCTCTTCAAGGCTTTGATGGCGTAGAGTTTTCCGGTCTTCTTCAACTCAGCTAGAGTACCTGGATAGGGTGAATATTAGAGTACGTGATGCAGTGGGCTATGCAAAGTCATATAATACTGTAACATCATGTTGTGTTGGCAAAAAACAATGGACCTTTCCAAAGTGTCCTCTTCCCAGGACAGAGATACATTTGAAATCTGCATCCTTGCTCTCTCTGTTGTGTAGTTTTCAGTGGAGGACTGAAAAGAGTCAGACAGATATGCCACAAAGCTAGAACCATGGACACCAATACCAGTCATTCAAAGTCTTCTAAAGCACTCTATGCACATGACTTTACCAAAATGACATTTTACTACCACAGTTTTCTGTTTAGTGGAGCTGGGTAGGCATATGTGGTGTTTTCTGTGCTGTTGAGACCGTGTTGGGGATTCTTCTTCCCTGGTCAGTGCTAGACGTTTTAGATGACTGTTCCTCACTTATGTTAAGCCTAATCACAGGCATGTCACTGCAGATCAAGAGAAACACAATGAAGGTCATATACAGTCGTGGTCAAAGTTTTGAGAATGACACAAGTATTGGTCTTCACAAAGTTTGCTGCTTCAGTGTTTTTAGATATTTTTGTCAGATGATACTATGGTATACTGACGTATAATTACAAGCATTCCATAAGTGTCAAAGGCTTTTATTGACAATTACATTAAGTGTGTCACGCTCGTTCATGAACGGGTCAGACCAAGGCGCAGCGTGATATGCATACATGTTTATTTGAACCGAATCAACAACTACAAAACAACAAACGAAACGTGAAGTCCAAGGTACACAAACAACATACCTCAAAACGACACCGGATTCAAAAATTAGAATCTTTCAATTTAAATTATTATATAAAATTATTGCTACCAATAGAATGTTATTTATTTATATTTATATTCTCAAAAAACCAACACTCGATCCCACTGATGTCAACAACTACAGACCAGTATCCCTTCTTTCTTTTCTTTCCAAAACTATTGAGCGTGCCGTCTTTAGCCAACTCTCTTGCTATCTCTCTCAGAATGACCTTCTTGATCCAAACCAGTCAGGTTTCAGGACTGGTCATTCAACTGAGACTGCTCTTCTCTGTGTCACGGAGGCTCTCTGCACTGCTAAAGCTAACTCTCTCTCCTCTGCTCTTGTCCTTCTAGACCTGTCTGCTGCCTTTGATACTGTGAACCATCAGATCCTCCTCTCCACCCTCTCCGAGCTGGGCATCTCTGGCGCGGCTCACTCCTGGATTGCGTCCTACCTGACCGGTCGCTCCTACCAAGTGGCGTGGCGAGAAGCTGTCTCCGCACCACGTGCTCTCACCACTGGTGTCCCCCAGGGCTCAGTTCTAGGCCCTCTCCTTTTCTCCCTATACACCAAGTCACTTGGCTCTGTCATATCCTCACATGGCCTCTCCTATCATTGCTACGCTGACGATACACAACTAATCTTCTCCTTTCCCCCTTCTGATAACCAGGTGGCGAATCGCATCTCTGCATGTCTGGCCGACATATCAGTATGGATGACGGATCACCACCTCAAGCTGAACCCTGGCAAGACGGAGCTGCTCTTCCTCCCGGGGAAGGACTGCCCGTTCCATGATCTCGCCATCACGGTTGACAACTCTGTTGTGTCCTCCTCCCAGAGTGCGAAGAGCCTTGGCGTGACCCTGGACAACACCCTGTCGTTCTCCGCTAACATCAAGGCGGTGACCCGATCCTGCAGGTTCATGCTCTACAACATTCGGAGAGTACGACCCTGCCTTACACAGGAAGCGGCACAGGTCCTAATCCAGGCACTTGTCATCTCCCGTCTGGATTACTGCAACTCGCTGTTGGCTGGGCTCCCTGCCTGTGCCATTAAACCCCTACAACTCATCCAGAATGCCGCAGCCCGTCTGGTCTTCAACCTTCCCAAGTTCTCTCACGTCACCCCCCTCCTCCGCACACTCCACTGGCTTCCAGTTGAAGCTCGCATCCGTTACAAGACCATGGTGCTTGCCTATGGAGCAGTGAGGGGAACGGCACCTCCGTACCTTCAGGCTCTGATCAGTCCCTACACCCAAACGAGGGCATTGCGTTCATCCACCTCTGGCCTGCTGGCTCCCCTTCCTCTGCGGAAGCATAGTTCCCGCTCAGCCCAGTCAAAACTGTTCGCTGCTCTGGCACCCCAATGGTGGAACAAGCTCCCTCACGACGCCAGGACAGCGGAGTCACTCACCACCTTCCGGAGACATTTGAAACCCCACCTCTTTAAGGAATACCTGGGATAGGATGAAGTAATCCTTCATCCCCAGATGGGATGGCGTATCACTGCAGAATGGATTGCAATATTTACCTGGAACTAACCTTGCAGATAGCATTACTGGGTGATCTGAAAAGTCATAGTCAATCAATCAATAATATAATAATAGTTTTAGCAAAAATGTTTATTTTTAATTCACAATCTGTAGAAGCAATGAGAATAGAAAGGTTCAGAACTTTTGTAAAACATCACAGTACGGTTGAAATATATATGGCAAATAGAAATCCTATATGGATGGTGTTAAGAGATAGATGGGAGGTATTGAATAGAGTTGAAGGATGGGACTAATAACAAATAACAACAAATAATAACAAAGATAGCTAATAATGTAAGCATACTGTGTCCATAATAAGTATATAGGTTGTATGTTGGGAGCTTTTGGGAAAGAGCACAGTTAGAAAGATATGGCATATAGAAGCAAACCGGATGGACATCATGAAAATGATCGGAGAGGTTGAGATTAGAAGAAGTTCAGGAGCAATAAAAAAAAAAATATATATACATATATATAATAGAATTATTGTAAAATTAACTCTGTCCATAAGGTGTAGATAGTAAGTATAGACCGGAAGTAGAGGCCTGGGCATTGTTGTTCACTAATTTACTCCAAGTAGGGAAAGGATGGTGGGGTTGAAAAGTAATAAAGGGGAGTATATACATAAAAGAAAACTAAAAAAACATGGGGGATTGGAAGTGATGCAGACAATTACATTGATAGAAGATACAATCTATCTGCAATATTAAGCTGATCCATTCACCCCCCCCCCCCAAAAAAAAAGATTAAAAAAAAAATAAAAATAAAAAAAATTAAAAAAAAATACTACATACCTCAACACGGAACAAGATCCCACAACCCACTAGTGCCAATAGGCTGCCTAAGTATGGTCCCCAATCAGAGACAACGAGCGACAGCTGCCTCTGATTGGGAACCACACCGGCCAACATAGAAATACACATACTAGAATAAACAACATAGACAATCACAACATAGAAAAGCACACCCTGACTCAACAAATAAGAGTCCCCAGAGTCAGGGCATGACAAAGTGTATGCAAAGAGTCAATATTTGCAGTGTTGACCCTTCTTTTTTAAGACCTCTGCAATCCGCCCTGGCATGCTGTCAAATAACTTCTGGGCCACATCCTGACTGATGGCAGCCCATTCTTGCATAATCAATGCTTGGAGTTAGTCAGAATGTGTTGGTTTTTGTTTGTCCACCCTCCTCTTGAGGATCGATCACAAGTTCTCAATGGGATTAAGGTCTGGGGAGTTTCTATGTTTTGTTCCCCAAGCCACTTAGTTATCACTTTTGCCTAATGGCAAGGTGCTCCATCATGCTGGAAAAGGCATTGTTCATCACCAAACTGTTTTTGGATGGTTGGGAGAAGTTGCTCTTGGAGGATGTGTTGGTACCATTCTTTATTCATGGCTGTGTTCTTAAGCAAAATTGTGAGTGAGCCCACTCCCTTGGCTGAGAAACAACCCCACACATGAATGGTCTCAGGATGCTTTACTGTTGGCATGACACAGGACTGATGGTAGTGCTCACCTTGTCTTCTCTGGACTAAAATTTTTCCGGATGCCCCAAACAATTGGAAAGGGGATTCATCAGAGAAAATGACTTTACCCCAGTCCTCAGCAGTCCAATCCCTGTACCTTTTGCAGAATATCGGTCTGTCCCTGATGTTTTTCCTGGAGAGAAGTGGCTTCCTCGATGCCCTTCTTGACACCAGGCCATCCTCCAAAAGTCTTCGCCTCACTGTGCGTGCACATGCACTCACACCTGCCTGCTGCCATTCCAGAGCAAGCTCTGCACTGGTGGTGCCCCGATCCTGCAGCTGAATCAACTTTAGGAGACGGTCCTGGCGCTTGCTGGACTTTCTTGGGCGCCCTGAAGCCTTCTTCACAACAATTGAACCTCTCTCCTTGAAGTTCTTGATGATCCGATAAATGGTTGATTTAGGTGCAATCTTACTAGCAGCAATATCCTTGCCTTTTTGTGCAAAGCAATGATGACGGCATGTGTTTCCTTGCAGGTAACCATGGTTAACAGAGGAAGAACAATGATTTCAAGCACCACCCTCCTTTTAAAGCTTCCAGTCTGTTATTCTAACTCAATCAGCATGACAGAGTGATCTCCAGCCTTGTCCTCGTCAACACTCTCACCTCTGTTAACGACCAGAATCACTGACATGATGTCAGCTGGTCCTTTTGTGGCAGGGCTGAAATGCAGTGGAAATGTTTTTTGGGGATTAAATTCATTTTCATGGCAAAGAGGGACTTTGCAATTAATTGCAATTCATCTGATCACTCTTCATAACATTCTGGAGTATATGCAAATTGCCATCATAAAAACTGAGGCAGCAGACTTTGTGAAAATTAATATTTGTGTCATTCTCAGAACTTTTGACCACAACTGTACAGTACCAGTCAGATGTTTGGACACACCTACTCATTCAAGGGTTTTTCTTTATTTTTATATTTTCTATATTGTATAATAATAGTGAATACATCAAAACAAACTATGAAATAACACATATGGAATCACGTAGTAACCAAAAAAGTGTTAAACAAATCAAAATATATTTTATATTTGAGATTCTTCAAATAGCCACCCTCTGCATTGATGACAGCACACTCTTGGCATTCTCTCAATCAGCTTCATGAGATAGTCACCTGGAATGCATTTCAATTAACAGGTGTGCCTTCTTAAAAGTTAATTTGTGGAATTTATTTCCTTCTTAATGCGTTTGAGCCAATCAGTTGTGTTGTGACAAGGTAGGGGGGTATACAGAAGATAGCCCTATTTGGTAAAAGACCAAGTCCATATTATGGCAAGAACAGCTCAAATAAGCAAAGAGAAACAATAGTCCATCATTACTTTAAGACATGAAGGTCAGTGAATAATGAACATTTGCAGTCGCAAGAACCATCAAGCGCTATGATGAAACTGGCTCTCATGAGGACCGCCACAGGAATGGAAGACCCAGAGTTACCTCTGCTGCAGAGGATAAGTTCATTAGAGTTTCCAGCCACAGAAATTGCAGCCCAAATAAATGCTTCACAGAGTTCAAGTAATAGACACATCTCAACATCAACTGTTCAGAGGAGACTGTGTGAATCAGGCCTTCATGGTCGAATTGCTGCAAAGAAACCACTATTAAAGGACACCAATAAGAAGAAGAGACCTGCTTGGGCCAAGAAACACGAGCAATGGTCTGGAGTCCAAATTGGAGATTTTTGGTTCCAACCGCCATGTCTTTGTGAGATGCTGTGTGGGTGAACGGATGATCTCTGCATGTGTATTTCTCATCGTAAAGCATGGAGGAGGAGGTGTTATGGTGTGGGGGTGCTTTTCTGGTGACACTGTCTGTGAATTATTTAGAATTCAAGGCAAACTTAACCAGCATGGCTACCACAGCATTCTGCAGTGATACGCCATCCCATCTGGGGATGAAGGATTACTTTATCCTATCCCAGGTATTCCTTAAAGAGGTGGGGTTTCAAATGTCTCCGGAAGGTGGTGAGTGACTCCGCTGTCCTGGCGTCGTGAGGGAGCTTGTTCCACCATTGGATATGTGTTATTTCATAGTTTTGATGTCTTCACTATTGTTCTACAATGTAGAAAATAGTAAAAAAATAAAGAAAAACCCTGGAATGAGTAGGTGTGTCCAAACGTTTGACTGGTACTGTATATAGTCAGGGAAATCATGCAATGATAATGATATTACATATTTTTTTTTACATTTTAGTCATTTAGCAGACGCTCTTATCCAGAGCGACTTACAGTTAGTGAGTGCTTTTTTTTTTTTCATACATATACTCCCATAAACAATTATTCTTATAAATACACAACACACAATACCTGTTTTACAGTTTATGTTCTTAATGCACACATTGTCTGTATTGTGTTTGGATGGGCAGCACTGTGCTTTCTCTCACCCTGGCAGTAAGGGGGTTGACAGAGTGGCCTTATTGGTGGAAGGTGGCGGGTTGACCACAACATCAGAGGAAGTAGATGGACTCAAAGTGGTAAAGGAACTGCATTGAGGCAGGACACTCATCATCAGATGGCCCCATGTGGCAAAGTTCATGTTCATCTGGGCAGCACGGAGGAAGTTCTTCCCTGAGTGGATGGAAAAAAAACACTGAGTTCCACCCATCAACACAATATACTGTACCTATCATCAACAGTAACATGAGTAGGCCTATTCGATCTGTGACTAATGGGCCAAGGCAGGTGATTTCGCTTTTGTGAAAATGCACCTTTGACGCCTTAGTTTGGGTTGGCGCTCAATCACAGGTTTGACAAAGTTAATCTGCAAAGCCACCAGAAAAATAACACGTAGTGTGTTACATATGGGTATCTGATTGATAGACCGCACTGTGGCTAAATCATCTCATATTCGGAACTATAAACAAATCACACCTCAGTGAACAGTGTACCCTGGGGCTCCAGGCACAAACACAGGGAATGTTGTTGGTTGTTCAGGAACTCTTCCAGGCGCAAGTACTTGACTGCACACATCGCCCTCCATTCTTGCCAGAAGACCCCAATCTCCAGCTCCCGAGACTGTGGGGGTCCAAATATGAAATATATGTACAATCTCCCAACTGAGAAATTATATGACCTTTAACCAATTCAGACACTTTCAGACTATGTACAACAGATCCCATTGAGTTCCCATACAACCAGGCAGGGGAAGTACAATGGCTCCTCCTGGTGTTCTGTAAAATAACTGCCTCAACTAGTCACCCTTTCCACTTCAATGAGAATATCAATTGCCCACTCTATTGACACTACTTGCCCACTCCAGTTGGATGCTGAAGCTTTGTCTCCAGGCCTGCTTGCTCAGGGGTTTCCAGTGGGTGCGACCCACCACTCTGTTATCCAGTTTCAGCACTGCACTCACCTCGTAAAACTGACTATCCTACCGATCCTTGACTTCGGCGATGTCATTTACAAAATAGCCTCCAACACTCTACTCAGCAAATTGGATGTTGTCTATCACAGTGCCATCCGTTTTGTCTCCAAAGCCCCATATAATACCCACCACTGTGACCTGTACGCTCTTGTTGGCTGGTCCTCACTACATATTCGTCGCCAAACCCACTGGCTCCAGGCCATCTATAAATCACTGCTAGGCAAATCCCCGCCTTATCTTAGCTCATTGGTCACCATAGCAACACCCACCCGTAGTCTGCGCTCCAGCGGGTATATCTCACTGGTCATCCCCAAAGCCAACACCTCCTTTGGCCGCAATTCCTTCCAGTTCTCTGCTGCCAATGACTGGAACAAATTGCAAAAATCTCTGAAGCTGGAGACACTTATCTCCCTCACTAACTTTAAGCATCAGTTGTCAGAGCACCTTACCGATCACTGCACCTGTACACAGCCCATCTGAAATTAGCCCGCCCAACTACCTCATCCCTATATTGTTATTTATTTTGCTCATTTGTACCCCAGTATCTCTATTTGCACATCATCTCTTGCACATCATTCCAGTGTTAATACTAAATTGTAATTATTTTGCACTATAGCCTATTTTATTGCCTTACCTCCATAACTTGCTAAATTTGCACACTGTATATTATATGTATTTCTGTTGTATTTTTGACTTTGTTTTGTTTTACCCCATATGTAACTCTGTGTTGTTGTTTTTATCGCACTGCTTTGCTTTATCTTGGCCAGGTCGCAGTTGTAAATGAGAACTTGTTCTCAACTGGTTTACCTGGTTAAATAAAGGTGAAATAAATAAATAAAATAATTTTAAAAAATCTCCACTGCCAGACACAAAGTCAGACATTACTGTCCTGTACTTCCTTGACTACAATAACATTTAGGAGAGCTGGTTCTACAGGTACAGTACTTGGGATATTCAAATACGACAACCACAGCTTCAACAAAGAAGTAGTGGATGTTCAATATAGAACTAAAGAGCTGAGTAGGGCTAAGGTCCTTTATACAGGGACTTACAGGAGAGGTCTTCTGTGTGATCAGGTTGGCTGTCAACTTTGGAATCTGGTTGACTATCCGGAGCAGACGATGCACTGGTTATTTGGCTTCGTCCTGGCAAGGATTTCAGCAAGTCCTCACATCCCAGAGGCCTGACCTCAAGTGTGCCTGTAAAATGTTACATTTATCAGGAGAACAGACATTAAAATAAATATTATCATTCTGCTTTTACCTCAGATCCATAAACATACATAAAATACCTGTAAGGTTTGAAGAGAGTGGTTACCTGTTAGGGAGGCCGGCTTAAGTAAGGATGAGGAGGTTGAGGAGGAGAGGGAGGAGAGTAAACAACTTTGTAGTTGTTCCTCTGGGGGAGGGGATCCTGTAGGGAGCCCTTCTTTGGTGACAGGCTCCTGGATGGCTTCCTGAGATGACTCCCTCAGGCGGTACTTCAGAGAAAGACGCAGAAGATCTAGCTTCTGAGACGACTCTAGCACACGGGATCGGACCTGGTAGAGATATACTGTATGCAATTCCTCATACACACATAGCATAGGCACAAAAACAAATGTTCCAATGTACAAACCAAGATGATGTTTTTCCAATCTTAAACTCAGTTTACGAAAGGTTCCTTAGTCCCTATGAATTGATACTCATTTTGTATTGTTTTCGAATAGAATAGTAAAACAATAAAAAACTGCCTTTCTAGATATAACCAAGCTAGCCCACCTCAGCCAGGGCCAGTTGGTCGTGCGATGGCAGCTCCTCATGCTGCTTCACCACATCTCTAGCCACCTTCACCACCTCTGTCTGGACATAGTGTTTTAACTCTGCCACATGAATGTCCAGGGGATTGACACCCACTAGGGTACATCCTCCTGGGTCAATGGTGCCTGAGAAAACAGGCATAGATTTGTTAAGGTCATATCAGCATATAAAATAGAGAGCAAAACAAACACTGGAACTGCCTAACAGATTATAGTAAGATGCAAGATGGCATTCCATGCAAAGACATGGATTGAGTCAATTGTAAATTACATATTGTAACCATGATCCCCTAACTAACTAAAACTGTACCATAATGCTCTGACCTCCATGATTGGTACTGCCATGGTTGCTTCTCCCATCCCCAACACCAGTCTGGATGACTTTGATAATCTGCATTCGGATCAGCTCGATCTTGGAGCGGCTGTCCTGAAGCATCTGCTGAGGGTTCCTCTTGAAGCTGCTTTACATCTTGTGAATCTGGTCACACAGCAGTCTTTCTTGTGTTTGTTTTTGCCTCTCTGCTGTCTGCTCTGTAAAATCCCTCTGCATTCTGTTATCCTCTTCTTTCAGTTACTAATCTCTCTCTCTCTGTCTCACTCACTCACTCACTCACTCACTGTGAGTGTTTAGGCTTCCTGTTTAGGCTTCCTGCAGAGGTGGCAGGGTTCCCTCTGCTGTGCCAACTAACACTGCTGCTAGTCTGTGAGTGCCGATGTCTTCATCCAGGCTCATTATTGGCCAGTGCAGAACCACATGTCCCTCTGCTGTCACCAACCAAAGACAAAGGGCGCGTTTGAGTGGTAAGGCTAAAGCAACCGATTGTAGATGGAAGTCGAGAAGTGAAGTCAGGAGAGATGCATCTGCGCAACCTGCACCGCGACAGCCAATGCAAATAGTCTGGGTAGCCATTTAATTAGCTGTTCAGGAGTCTTATGGCTTGGGGGTAGAAGCTGTTAAGAAGCCTTTTGGACCTAGACTTGGCGCTTCGGTACCGCTTGCCGTGCGGTAGCAGAGAGAACAGTCTATGACTAGGGTGGCTGGAGTCTTTGGCAATTTTTAGTGCCTTCCTCTGACACCTCCTGGTATAGAGGTCCTGGATGGCAGGAAGCTTGGCCCCAGTGATGTACTGGGCCGTACGCATTACCCTCGGTAGTGCCTTGCGGTCGGAGGCCGAGCAGTTGCCATACCAGGCGGTGATGCAACCAGTCAGGATGCTCTCGATGGTGCAGCTGTAGAACTTTTTGAGGGTCTGAGGACCCATGCCAAAACTTTTCAGTCTCCTGAGGGGGAATAGGCTTTGTCGTGCCCACTTCATGACTGTCTTGTTGTGTTTGGACCATGATAGTTTGTTGGTGATGTGGACACCAAGAAACTTGAAGCTCTCAACCTGCTCCACTACAGCCCCATCGATGAGAATGGGGGCGTGCTCAGTCCTCCTTTTCCTGTAATCCACAATCATCTCCTTTGTCTTGATCACGTTGATCATGTTATTCTGGCACAACCAGGTCTCTGACCTCCTCCCTATAGGCTGTCTCATCATTGTCGGTGATCAGGCCTAACACTGTTGTGTCGTCAGCAAACGTAATGATGGTGTTGGAGTCGTGCTTGGCCATGCAGTCATGGGTGAACAGGGAGTACAGGAGGGGACTGAGCATGCACCCCTGAGGGGCCCCCGTGTTTAGGATCAGCGTGGCAGATGTGTTGTTACCTACCCTTACCACCTGGGGGCGGCCCGTCAGGAAGTCCAGGATCCAGTTGCAGAGGGAGGTGTTTAGTCCTAGGGTCCTTAGCTTAGTGATGAGCTTTGAGGGCACTACAGTGTTGAACGCTGAGCTGTAGTCAATTAATAGCATTCTCACGTAGGTGTTCCGTTTGTCCAGGTGGGAAAGGGCAGTGTGGAGTGCAATAGAGATTGCATCATCTGTGGATCTGTTGGGGCGGTATGCAAATTGGAGTGGGTCTAGGGTTTCTGGGATAATGGTGTTCATTTGAGCCATGACCAGCCTTTCAAAGCACGACATGGCTACTGACTTGAGTGCTATGGGTCGGTAGTCATTTAGGCAGGTTACCTTAGTGTTCTTGGGCACAGGGACTATGGTGGTCTGCTTGAAACATGTTGGTATTACAGACTCAGTCAGGGACAGGTTGAAAATATCAGTGAAGACACTTGCCAGTTGGTCAGCGCATGCTCGGAGTACACGTCCTGGTAATCCGTCTGGCCTTGCGGCCTTGTGAATGTTGACCTGTTTAAATGTCTTACTCATGTTGAGGGTCCTTTGCACAGTGCTGATATTCTCTTATTCTTAAACAAACTTTTAACTTTAGAAAACGACACAGACAACGGCTTCTGAGTTTATGTAAAAAATCTTTAGTTATGCAATTGCAGGCAGAAGTTACTACAGAGTCAACAGGATTTGTATAGCTCTTCATAATTTCTGCAAAGTTTCTAAAACAATCTCTGCTTTTTATACTAGCACTCCCTTCCTGACCCTGAACTTGCCCTAGCAACAATAAAGTATTGTTCCTAATCCTGTCTTCCCACAAACTCAGTATCAGGGGTTGAGGTGTCAGAAAATTAAACGAGACATGTTGCAGGGTTTTGAGAACTTTTTGCTGTCAAGGCCTCCATAGTTTTTAATAATGTAAGCAAATGCGCATAATAGATAATATATTCCCCATCATTCACTTCTTTGAGACTTCTAAGTGTCAACAAAATCTAGGAATTTTAAAACCATCCAGTAAAAACATAATTCCATATAAATATCAGTTGACTTACAACCATTAATCCGAGTCCCCATAGCAGTGGGCAGAAGGGACCAAAACAGGCCCAGAGGTCTCAGCATAGTAATTCAACTCAACCTGTTTATCTATGTGGAGAACCATAAGGCCAGGGACAAATTTGTTAATTATATATTTTCCCATACAACACAAAACACAAACACCAATAAGGAGTAAAAACAGGGGCAGAAGGATTGGTAACAGCCAGGTGAGTAGTTTGGTTCCCCATTCCCCAAAGGTGGAAGTCAACCAGGAAGAGAACCAATCATTTTTGCTTGGTGCTAATGTATCAGCCAAATTGCTTATTTCATTAATTATTTCAGTCATATTGTCAGAAGAATCTGGGAGCAGCATTACACACTGTCCACTAACGGTTAGCCCCAATGCTGAGCAATATCCCCCTTGTGTGACGAGTACCGATATACGAAGAGGCGCAGATGCAGTGATTAACAAGATCAAGGTTTACTTAATAATGAGAAAGAGAATAACAAAGAGAGAGTAAATGACACGACGCTTAACAATCACACACAACACAATACAGAACAGTCCAGGGCTAAATAGGGGTGGTGATGAGATGATGAGGTGCAGGTGCGCTGGAGGTGATTAGGGTGCGTTGAGTTTCCATTCCGGTGTTCCCGAGGTGGTGCGCTCAGACCGGTGACTCCAAGCACCGGAGGGGAGCAAGGGGCGGGCCGGTCAGGGCGGCGACGGTGGAAGTCCCGAATTAGGTTGGGGTCCAGAACGTCCCCAGCTGGAATCCAGCTCCTCTTCTCAGGACCATACACCTCCTGGAGCAGTCCCCCATGGAACCTGGAGTTCAGCAGGTCCCTCACCGCATACGCCGGACTCCCATCAATGTCCAGGGGCGAAGGGGGCATACCCCGGGGGAAGGCATCCACCAGAGGACCAGGAACCACCGGCCTGAGGAGAGACACATGAAAAGTGGGTGAGATGCGGTAGTGAGGGGGAAGGAGCAGCCGGTATGATACCTCATTTATCTGCCAGAGGACCTTAAACGGCCCCACAAACCGGGGGCTCAGCCAGACACGATCACCAGGCTGGAATACAGGGGCCTCACTGCGGTGGCAGTCGGCTTGGTCCTTCTGCCGACTAATGGCCCTCTGGAGATGGACATGGGCAGCGTCCCAGACCTGTCCGGCCCTGTGGAACCACTCGTCGACAGCGGGCGCATCGGTCTGGCTGGGTGTCCAAGGGGCCATGGTCCGAGACGATGTCCTCCGGAAGTCCATAATGCCAGAAGACCTGTTGGAACAGGACCTCAGCGACCTGGAGAGCAGAAGGAAGACCAGTTAGTGGCAAAAAACGACATGATTTGGAGAACCAATCTACGACCACCATGACTGTGGTGAAGCCGTCAGAACGTGGAAGGTCTGTGACAAAGTCAATGGACAGGTGTGACCAAGGTCGCTGAGGCACTGGGAGAGGAAATAGTTTGCCTGCCGGGGCATTTCGAGGTGTCTTCGATTGGGCACATACGGAACAGGAGTTGACATAGCGGGAGACATCAGAAGCCAAGGTGGGCCACCAGTATTTTTGGGCTAGAGAATGCAGGGTGCGCGTAATACCAGAGTCCCCTGCCGTAAGGGTGGTGTGTGCCCAGATCAGCAGGCGGTCACGAACACTGGTGGGTACATACACGTGCCCCGGAGGGACGTTGGCAGGCGCTGGGTCCTCCTGAGCCGCCAGGCGGATGTCTTCGTCCACATCCCAAACGACAGGTGCAACGATGAGAGACGAGGGCAGGATAGGACCCCCCAGATCCTTCCTTTCTCCGGTATGGTGCATCCTGGAGAGTGCGTTGGCTTTCACATTCTGGGATCCTGGGTGGTAGGACAGAATGAATTGAAAGTGAGTAAGAAATTGGGCACACCTGGCTTGACGAGCGTTCATCCGTTTCTGTCTCCTGAAGAGAAGGCACCTTCTGTGTCTACTTCCCACCTTATCATGTACTCACTTTCTTTTTTCGTCTTTCCTCTTCGTACTCCCTTTCTCTTTTCCATCTTTCCTCTTCATCCTCTCTCTCTCTATCTCTGTGTCTTGCATCCTCTCTCTCAAACATTTCTTTATCTCTCTGTTTCCTTGCTTCACTTTCTTTCAGTCCCTCCATCCTTTCTTGTTCTCTTCTTCGGTCCTCTTGTTGTTCTCCCGTCACCGACCATCCTGTCCTTACATACGGATACTTTGGCTTGGTAACTGGGAGTGGTTTGGTTCTAGCATCCAGATTCAATTTATTCAATTCAGTTGTTAACTTGGTTGTCACCGAGGGCCCTGACCCGGGGTTTGTGGAACTCTCTTCTCCCTCTTCAGTTTCTTCCAGGGTGCCCCTAATAATGACTTTTTTTTTTTGGGGTTCTGGTTCCAGGCCAACCTGTCTCAGGGGGAACGCATCCCCTTTGTAGCCGGAACAGTCATCATATGGGGGAGGTGGTGGCGGTGCTGTTGGGAGGGCGGGATATTCTTTTTATAGGGCTTCTTTTCAGATTTTTCTTCTGGTGTCTACTTTTTTACTTCTTTCATTTTGACTTCAGTCTATAGATGGTTTATCCTGGATCGTGCCCAAAACACGGTTCCCTCTGACCGGATTAGTGTAAAACAGTTACAGATACCAGTGTGGCTTTTTTCTCTGCCTTTTTCTT